TCTACCTTCGTAAAGTGAACTTTAGACTTTGACTCGACTTGAGCATACAAATCAAAATTTCTGTTTAATAATAGCAAACAGCAGTCAAGAGCAAAAAGAACAAGAACATTAATAACATGAGTAGTATAATAATAGTGTAATAATGATATGTCTTTATTGATAACTGTAACGTTTTAAGATATAAAAGACCCACTGAAAGACCAACGACACAAACACTCAAGATAGTCGGCACTCCAGTTTACTCCCAACATTCCTTTCGGTTACACAGGGTTCCCAACAATAACAAAGAAGAAAATATGCTTCTCGAGCTGCATTACGATTAGGATATATAACTCATTATTGAGCAAACACCAAATGCGAAGTTCATTGTTCTTGATGTTATTTCCATGTTAGATTGTGCACAGTTAAAATTTCAAGAATTTGTCGGTAGTCATCAGTTCAAATTCTAGGCATTTGTCGGTAGTCGGTTATTTAACCCTATTCAGACTGGGGGGGGGGGGCTTTTGAGCCCCCCCTCGCGTAAAAAGCCAATAACTTTCGAACCAAGACAGCTAGAGCTCTGRAACTTTCGGACTTTTCCTAAAATTTATCTGGGCAGATTTTGATATAATGTTTTGTTGATAACGTCATCCATGTCGCCATGGCAACCAKTTTTTGACACATRGGTTTTCARAAATGTAAAATAAGCTTAATTTTTCATTTTTAAAGCTTATTTCTTGTTTTATTATGCATCTTTTACCTATTTGAGCTTGCTCCCATTGCTGACTCTACAATACCATAATACTYTTTCGACAACAAAAACTTTKGGGGGAGGGGTGGGTAGTTTTCTGTCATATTTTCACATGGGAGAATATTTCATTAAAATCATCAGTAACACTTTGAAACTCACTTTTTTATTCATTAAATGTTAGTTTGAGAAGTATTTCAGACATTTTGAGCTGTTTGCCTCAATGATTAGTTTTTTAATGGCATTTTAGAAAATTCAAGATGGCGGTCCAAGATGGTGGATCCTAAAATGGCGGATATTTTTCTCAAAATTGCTTGTTCCAAATTGTTTAACTTTAAAAACTTCTCAAATTGTAAATTTTACCATAAAAATTCGATATAGACAAAAAAAAGTGAGATTTGGAGTCAAATTATTCAAAGACGACAAAGACACTATAGGAAATGACGTCATCACAATTATGACGTCACAACTGTTACCATGGATACAAAATGAACCACAACATCACAGAAGAGGAGTAACGCCTAAATATGATATTTAACTGGTTATCTAGATATAGATATATAATTTACAAAAATTACCTGATATCTATGACGTCATTGTGACGTCATATAGAAAAGGGGTCAATTAAACAATACAAAAATATTATTTTCAAGTCATTTCAATAATAATCAGATGATATTGCAGCATTCTCTATGGAATTGTATGCAATTTATTAAAATGAATTATAAATCGTTRGAATGGTGAAAATGACGTCATTATGACGTCACATTTGGTTCCCACGGGTCAAGACTGGGTGTGGTGGTTCGTTTTACGTGGGCGACCATTGTGTGAAAATTTCATGCTCATAGACGTATTGGTTCCGAAGATATTGAGGGGGGGCGAATGAGCCCCCCCTCCCCAGTCACAGATTGAAAAAAAAAGCCCAGTCTGAATAGGGTTAAATAGAGTTGATAAACATTAACTTTGAATGCATCTACTACGGTGCGTTATATCAACAGAATGCTTTCTAAAATGCCAACGTTATAATCCTTGAGTGTTTATTGGTCAATTGGATGCCACTCAAAAGTTTTGGACTGGCCAATCAAAACTTCAAGAAGCCACTGATCCGAGCAAAATTATTTATTTTTCCGAGGAAAACATGGATGTTGTTGCTTGAAAAATACAAAAAAAAAATTGTATTCAAGAAGCTATAAATGTCTTTGAACATTGCCTAAAAATATTCATTTAATTTTATGCAAAAATATTTATTTTTATGAAAATGTCGCCGGTCAGTAAATATGTTCTTGTCGGTAGTCAACAATTTGTTCGAATTTGTCGATAGTCGGTTGTTATTCTGTCGATTTTTCGCTAGTCGGTTAACCCCATACCTGAGCTCTTCTGATATCGTCAAAATGATTTTTCTAAATACAAACGGGGATAATTTAACCACCAACATGTAATTGATAATATAATAATAACATAATAATAATAATAATAATAATAATAATAATAATAATAATAATAATAATAATAATAATAATAATAATAATAATAATAATAATAATAATAACATTTATATAGCGCACGGTCCATAGAAAGATGCTCCCGTGCTTTTTGAAGAAATACAACAATAATGAGAAAAAATAAAATAGATAATAATAAATAACAAAAATAGTCACTTGAATCTATAGCAGTTGATATGCTTAATTAAACAAAAATGTCTTAAGTAGTCTTTTAAAAGATGGTAAGCTTTCAGCATTGCGGATATGGTGGGGTAATTGCTAGTAACACTTCCTTTAAAAGGTTTGTTTACAATGGCAATTTTGCAGAGGTTTTTGTGGTCATTGTGATCCTAGAATATAACGCTAAAGAATTAAAATGATGAAAAGTGCGTCTCATGTTAGTATTTTGAAGTGATCCAATAGTTGCCTTGAAAGTACTTTGCGATCCTATAGTTAATGAGAATTGGGCATTTCYATGGCAATATTTCCCTTGAATGATTTTGTTTTTTTGAATAATCTTTTTGCATGAATAAATTTTCTAGTCACCAGATGTAAACAGATTCAGACGCTGAAAACTTTCGCTTTTGAATCTAGGACGTGCTTATGACCCTATGCTATTCAAAGCTCTCATCAAGTTTCTGTCTGTTATGAGGGATCGACAGTGTGGTAAGCTAAAGAACAGGCGTAGTTTAAGGTAAATCGCTGTCCAAAATTGTTCTTGCAATAATTTCCACTGCAATGCAAGGGCAAACATACAATGCACTATGTTGAATTTTTCTCTTACTACATAATCAGAACACTGTTCAATGCATTTTATTTCTTACGTTATAAAGTGACTTCCTTCGCAGCTCAAAGATTATAGTAGTCCTGATGGAAACACACTCTGTAAGCGAGAGGTTGTTCGCTCGTTCTTCATCTTCACATTGTTCAAAATCACTCAAAATTCACTGTAATGCTACTCCTAAAGTATTGTTTAATAATCATTCCAACTTCATTGAAAGATTTCTGAAAACATCAT